AACAAAATCATTTAATTGTAAATAGAAATAACTAAAACATTGTGGTGTTTTTAAATTGTATTTGTAAATGTAATTTGTATAATTAAAAAAATGTAAATTTAAAAAAATGTAAAATGTAATAATATAATACGTAATAATATAATGGGTAATAATATGTACGATAATAATAGATATTTACTGTTTTTAAGGTTTGGAAATTATACTCATATACGATTGTTATTCATGTGTTTCGTTGGTAATAATGTCATAGTCGATATCATACAATTTTTATAAAAGATTTTTAAAAAGTGTTACTCAACCATCTGAGGTATGGAAAAGAATTTAATGTTGGTTAATCTTTACACGGGAAAAAAATTTTTTGTAAATTGATTTTTTGTTTTTAAATTTTGTGTAGAATTAAACTGAAGAAGGGCTCATACAAGCCTGAAATGCATATGTAATTTACAATAAAGGAATACTTAACCTCAGAGCTGAAAGAAAGTCTACCGTTTGTTAACCATTCGGATTGAAGAGACATATAATAAATATAAGTATTTATCAGCCATTATACAAGATTTTGTGAAGTCAGTTTTCTAATACAGTACAGTTAAATCTCAGTTTAGAGCTTCCAATTGTTTTCTACAGAGGCTGGCGCTAAATTGTAGGACCTTAAACAACGAGAGTTATGTGAATTAATAGGATATACACACATATCTGTGTTTGACTGTGCAAAATTAACGTCATTAGGCTGCAATTTGAAAAAATTGTAGACCTATAAATTTGCACTATTGTCTATCTGCTGAATGTCCAGAAGGGAGACAGATAAATGAAAGCCGAGATTAGATACTGACATGTTATGGTAGCAGATCCCGATTAACTGTATAGGAACTTCCAGTCTACACCAGAAGTCACGTAAATTTAGAAATTTTTCCCGAAAAGAGTTAAATGAATGGCATGACTCTAAGAGGAAAACTATGATGCATGACACCATTAATTAAAATCGAGAGCGTCGTGACGATGTCACAATAAATAATAATTGCTCGTATTCTAATTAAAATTGCAATAAGGTTGATTTAATCGCATATACTTTGTCAACATTTATTAATTAGAAATTAATTTTTATAATTAACTGGTTATATTTATTAGTTAAGCATGTAAACATTGCTATGACATTTGTTTTGGATATTGTTTGGTTCCTATACATCTGCAGACATAGGATTACGGAATTTTTAAGAATTTTTGCGGTAACTTTTCTACTTTCGTGTCTGATTTTTTTAAAAAAATTCTCACGTTAGATTTTGATGATTTTGGTGTAAAATTGCTCATATTCATGACATGTGCATAAATTGTTTTCTTGAAAATATAATTGATTCTGAGAAAAGATATATTCAAAAAACGAAAGTGTCGACTTTCATCTCTTTGATGCTTAATAACAAAAAAGTATTTTACATTTTTTGGTACTGTTTTTTGCAATATTGTATATAGCCAGTCACTTACTTCATATTTTTACAGAGTTTGGTGAATTTTGGTTGAACTATAGAAAAGTTATCCGAGTTCAAAGAGAAAGGAACCAGATTTACGTTTATTATCCCCACTACATGGCACTACGTTACCTAGCTCTTCTATTGCCTCCGTTGTAACTGCTTGCCTGGGTTCTGTGCCGATTTAAACCAATTGTTCTTTCCTTTCGTCCACGTGTCAGCAGTTACGCTCAACTCCTTCCTCTCATCCCATCGCAAATTTTCAACTTTTATGTAACTATTTCAAATATATGCTTTTTAGCCGTGTCAAGCGACTCACCGACGTTATATTTGAGACACATTTCCCTCAATCCAGACTGGACAAAATCTCAAATCCGGATCTCTAACGGATCTCCAATTTACCCAAGACTTTTCCCGCTTAAATGCCAACTGATTTTATATCTTACTTTTTACTTTAATTTAGTTTCTTTATTACACTTTTCTTTTTATCTGAACTTTTTATCATATTTTTTTTTTTCTCAGCAATAAATTCCTTATAATCTTTCATTTGTGACATATTATTGCTCAAACTGTTCGCCCAGGCTAACTACATCGATAAACATCGTTTTACGTTTCTCAATGTCACCTATCTAGTTTATAATTTACATATTTCGTCATTTTATTTAATTAAAGTCTAGAACAAAACATACGTAGTTTGAAGACGAAGACGAAAATAATCTGAAATATTCTTATATTTTAACGTATATTTTTATTCCGGATGTATATTGTTATACAGCGGGGTCTTCTTTTAACATTATAATGTAGCTAAGGAAAGATACAAATACATTTGTAATACTTTACAATTATTGCTGTTGAATTTTTTATAAGCAGTTAAATTGATAGACTTGCTATAATAACGCGCCTTCTGCTTCCAAGTTTGTATTCTCGAACTATATCTGTATCGAAAAATACTTTCGTATATTTATGGTAGGTGACCAAGAAATACACAGCAATCTCAGTATAGTATTCTTGTTCCATCTTTAATTTGGCTTGATGTGTAGGCCTACTTTGACCACAAACACTTAGCCTAATATTAGATTTGCGAAGATTGCTTGCAATTACGAATTGCTACGCAAATGATTTGTGCTTAGTGTCATAATGAAATTTTGATTGGAATTTTTAAACATTGAGAGATATTTGACAAATAAAACATATAACCACTGCACCAGCTCTCTTAGCTCTCCAGCTCTACTGCTTTATGTTATCTAAGAGTAACATAAAACAGTATTTGCCTGTCAATTCTGGTAAAAATTGTCGGTTTTCAACTTGTCTTTCTCACTTTCTCATTCATTGTGAACAATTCGAAAACTGATACTTTTAAATGCATACTGATTACTGTATATATAAATATCAAAAATAAAGCAATATTTAATCTACCGTTACCGATCGGCGTTGGTTTTGATAAAAACATTAATTTTATCTTAAAGTTAATCAAGACCAGTGCCGATTAAAACATTATACGAAATCAAAACAATTTTATCAGAGTTGTTTGCGACAGTACACTATATCAAAAGGTCACCACTCGCCACGTGTGTACCCTATATTAACGTTACTTTCCGTTACGAGAATGCCCTATATTAACGTTACTACTTGTTACGTGAGCGCCCTATATTAAACGTCCTCACCCACAACTAATTAGATACGTACGTACAGTACAATATAATGCTTTCTAAAGTCCATATCAATAGATTACAATATATTGATACTTTGATACGTAAATATCATTAGTGCGTTGCATTGATAAGTTTTATGATTTAATCCATCAGCGCGTTTAAATTATCACACTTATTGAGATATGGATGTTCTTGTATTCTTTTTCTTCTTGCTTGTAGCAATTTCTCTGTTGAAATGGATTCGGTAAGTTTCGATTTAATCTCTCTGTATTCATTATAATTCATTGAAAAATTAAAATATATTTTGAATTGTCTTATACCCAGTTTAAAATGTACTACTCGAAAATGAAGATCTATTTGTTTAGTTTTAATTCTTTTCGCCTGTGGATACTAAAAATACATTTTTTCCTATATCCATCATGGGTTTAGTCAAATCCGTAACAGGGGTTTCCGGGTGTCGACATATCCGGCCATTCAAAAATTCCAGATATTGCTACCCCAAGGAAAGGTAGTACGGGCTCCGTAAAACCTTCAATACTCCTCAGCCCCTCCCCACATTAATCCATCTGCTCATCTAACGATCCAACCGGCAATCTTTATATTTGGGGAGATTTTTCCGTGTTTTCTTCTCCAGCCACTACAGTGATATATCCTTGCAAACAAACAAATAAATTTACTTCAAAAATCGGGCTCTCGGGCTTTCAGTTTTTATATAACGGGCCTGCTGCCGTGGCTACGCAAAGTCTTCTCCCCTGGATTCGATTCCTTCACAGCGACAGGCTAACGCCTTAACTGCCTCGGCCATCAGACCGTTTAATGCATAAGATATATTTGAAATGCTATAATAAAATTTACTCTTTGATGGAATGTCAATAACTGTAGTAAATTATAAAATCCGTTTATATTAATTACCAATAATTAATTTAATTTCCAAATAGGAACTGAAGCCAGTTTCATTGTTACAGATTAAAAGTTAATTTATGATATATTTACGAATTAAAAGTAATCAGATCTGAAGATATTTTGCCATTAACTTCTTTTATAAAATTATTTTATAATTTTTTATACATTTTTTAAACATTTATTAATAGGCTAAATATTTCTATATATATTAATTAATTAATAAAACTACAAATAAGGAAAAGCGGGGCAAAAGCGCGAGGTTTTGCTACAATGACACAAAAATGATAATTCTTTTTCGAAAACATTATTGTCAAAATAGATTCTTTAATCATTCTAGATTTTAAAAAATCCATTCGAACTGAACTGTGTAGAAAAAATAAATAAATATAAATGCATTTTTTCGAAAGCAATAATCATATTATGTAATCTTGTTCCTTAAGTGGGACAAGATTGCGGATGTTCATTGCTTTCGATAAATGAATGCTCATGTTACAATGGGTAACATTGCACAGTCAACAAATATCTCACTAGAACTATCTATTCTTTGAAAAGTGGTGCATTGTTTATGTCATCATAAAAAGCAGTTTGACACATTGAATCCATTCCTGAGTGGGTGGATTCACGTTCATTACGTGAAAGGAAGAAATCCTTAGTTGAAAGTGAATGATTTGGTAAGAGTATTTTTAATTCGTTACTTAATTTTAAGGTTTTTTTTCTGAAGAAATTCTGTTCTTTTCATTTTTATATGCATCATTTATTAAAAATTAAGATTAATGTCTGCAAAAAATTTTTTTATTTATAGGTCTTGCCACATTTTAAATTCTTAAATAGAACTGAAATATTAATTAAAAACTGACATTAAAAGATTTCACTTTACCAAAAACTCGTTATTTATTTTTTGTTTAATCAACGCATAAATTAAGTTTTAAGTAATAAAGACTGTTGTGGTGCAAGAGACCATGCGCGCAATCTTGCCTTATAACACCACTTCATAAACGTAAGTTAATTACTTTGATGTTAGAATGCACACATGCTGTTTGCATGCTACAATTACTGTATGTTTTAAACATGCTTTAACCATACATTGGCTGTTTTCTATTTTAATGTTGTTCTCAATAAACTAAACCGTACTGTACGATTATAAAATAATATTGGATGGCACATAAATTTTAAACTTATTCTCTTTCGAATTTAAGCTGTTACCAAAGTTAAAAGGATACGGTTTACACTGATGATAACTGATCACATGACCAAAATCATTTACTTATCAGAAACGTTTTAATCTTTAAATAAATGGGTTGGTCACGATCTTACCCCACTTTTCCTTATATCGGACCTTACTCATTTATAATCTTTACCAGAGTATGAAGGATGAGTCAAGTGTTCCTTGTATCTTTTTCATTCCAAAAATATTGAAGATACGTTAGTTAATTTTGTTAATATAGTTACATAGGAAGTCATTTAGAAAGAAACAGATGACATTTCTTTGCTGACCTTGTTGACAGATTTTGTTGAACTTGAAAATTATTTTCAAGGTCAACAAAATATGATAATATGATTTACAACTACTCTTTCTATATATAAAATACAGAATAAATAATCACGACACTTTCAGAAGGCGCTCCAAATTCCTATCCGTATGTCCCTGCATAAAACTGTTTTAAAGCATCAAAATAACATTAAAAAAGAAAGAAACATAAAAGAGAACTGAGGAACTAAAAGAAAATGCTGCCGTATTAAATACTAAAGAATATTTTAAAACTTGTGAGGAATTTCACAAAAATCAAGAATGAAAATGCTATGCGACGTTTAGTAATCACAAAAGGAAATAGTATTTTATTCAGAGACAGTATCAATTGAATTCTGTTATTTTCATATTGAAGATAGACTCTAACTTATATATTTTCAGACATAGCATTATCATGTTATAATTAAGTCATATATTTAAAATTATTTTATAGATTTTTTTCTTTATGTTTTCTATTACACTTAAATATATTAAGCTTTTTGTTGTTTATTATTGAATCTTGCAAAATGACATATGTAGCATTAAGTAGCACAGAATCATAAATTAATTAATTAAGAATAAATAGCAAAAGTGTCATTTAATCTTTAATATACTTTTTAGAACGAAGAATTCATCGTATTAAACATATTAAAATAACTTATCGCGCATTTTATATACTTCTCAAAAGTGAAATCGTAACAGCACGCGCAGCCATCTGCAAATTGCAAGACTAGTAGAGATGACAGAGATATGCAAACGACTAAGTTTGGGGTATGATTAACGCTTTGGGTCACGTGGTATCTAGCTTCGGGCTATAAAGACCAACAGCCGGCTCGGGCCTTAAATGCCATCCTAGGTTTGTCGATGCGCGCAGTTGCCACGCATGCTGAGCACGACGACGTGAATACCATTCCGCGATGTGTGACACGATAGACGTGGAAACATCTGCGAACACGCCGAAAAGGAGTGGATCGCACGTGACATCCGTGACGTCGCCGTCAACGGATGCATCTGTGTCTACCCAAACCATTCGCAACAGGTTGCGTGAAGTCGGGTTTCATGCAAGCAACCGGTAACGGGAGGGCCATTAACCGCTCGACACAGGCTGCAGTGGCATAGCTACAGTTTGAGCCGCTCGAGGCGGTCTGTCAATTCCCACCTTTTCTTTGGGAAATACATAATAGACATGAAACCTATTTAGACACAATTTAAAAAATAAGTTTAAGAAAAAATAAAATTATTTCTTTTATTTATAAATTATAATAATAAAAAATTACAAATGTATTTTTCTTGCTTTTTTATTAGCAAATTTATTTATAAAACTATCAAAATCCATTTTGTTTGTTATATGATGTTCTGTACATAATATCGAAAGTTTCCTTAAACATAAATTCTGGATCTAAGATAATTTTTGAACTTTTGATCAGTTTTAAGTTGGAAAAACTCCTTTCGCAACTACCAAAACTGCTACCCCGAAAAACGTGTACCGTTCGGGAGGACCGCCCTCTCCGCCCATCACTAGCTATGCCACTGCAGGGCTCCAAGCAGGGCATCACGGACGGCCTGGTGTACATTTCATGTACTCTGACAGTGGACTAATTGTAGAGCCTGTGGTTCCACCTCGGTGCAGGCTGCACCCGACACTGAGTTCTAACAAGACAATGCCCAACCGCACGTTGCATGGTGAACTCTCACCAGCCTGAACAGTATTCACATCCTTCCCTGGCCGGCAGCCTAGCCTGTGAGACTTCGTTCGACGTGAGGTGTACCGCCACATACCGTAGACCCCATGCGCGCTGCAGAGGATGCAGCTTGCCAAGGGATATCTCAAACAACTATTTAATCTCCTCAGTTGATAGTATGCTTTGCTTTATAACTGACGTGGAGTCATATTAGTTCCTGAAAAAAAGCAGGTGTTTGTTCTATATCTTTGTTCTTTTAATCGCCTGCATATCTCTGTCACCTCTACCAGTAATTACTACAAGTAAAAAGCAGTCAGTTGTTAAATATAATTGCTTTATTTAAAATTAACAAAATAATATCTTTAATTTATTTTTTCTATTTAATTTCATCAATTTTTTATAATTTTTTATAGTAATAGAAGAGAAAATTTCCGATGCTTTGAAAAACTTGGAATTCCAGGCCCGGAGCCGTCTTTTTGGTTTGGAAATCTTTTAGATGCAATAAAATTAGTAAATATCCTTATGATGTATAAAATTACATTAATATAGACTTATTTCAGATTAAGTTATCACAATTTATTGGAAATATAATTATAGCATCTAAGATATTGCAGAATAAAGAGTGATGTAAAAAAAGCCTAGTGTCTACCTATGCAACTTAATTGTGTGGTAAAGATTAACAAGTAAAAGAAAGCACGATTTTTTCAGAAAAAGGCAATAATAGTTTATTTATTTTTAAGTAATAACAGAAGATAGTGATATAATAGTTTAATAGTGATAAAAGATAGTCCAGTGAGGATAAAATATTTCTAGAGAAAGGCCTGGTTTTTTCTTACTTGGCTGTTACATTAATTGTCTCCTTCGGATGTTATGCTTATAATAGTTCTTTCATTTAGGCCAGTAACATAAGCTGCTTCTTTTATTGCTTGACAACTTTAAATTTATTTCTAGCTTTATCATTAAACATCCATCCACATTACCAAATCAATAAAAGTTTAAAACTATTCAATGGGATTGGGAATTTTAGATTTAAAAATTTATAAAAAATTNGGATTTTTATGGTAAATACGTGTTTTGTTAAAATATTACAATATTAAATTCTAAATAAAAATTACCTTATTAAAGTTTAACTTTATTATAGAAAAGTCAATTATGACTTTCTAATTTATAAATTTCGTACGAAATAAAATACAGTATTACATTTTATGGCATTATATTATATAAAGCGAAATAGTTTTATACAGATTTGTTGCATACAATTGACGTATAGTACTGTACTGTACAGTACATACTAAAATTATGAACCTGTATTTCTTGTATTTGAAGATAGAGGAAAATCGAAACTACTTTTTGATGCGTTGTTTACTTATTACTATTGTTAAATAATAATGAAAAAAATGTTTCTTATAACTATAAGAAAACAAAATAATTTTATGAGTAGTAAAATATACTGCATAATAATTTATATAAAGGAATACTTGCATCATTATATAACTATTCTTTCTTTTCAGAAAAGAACAATAAGCTATAAGGTCCTCGAGTAAAGTCCTACTCTACTCGAGATTCGACCTTTAACTACAAAAATTGAATAACATCAATCCTCTTATAATCAATCCTCCCTGCAAAATTTCAGAAATTTTTGATAAATGTATAACATTAATATGTTTTAAAAAGTAACATATTATCAGTTTTATAAATATTTACAAATTTAATATAATGTACTGTACGTGATTTTATTAGAATTTTCACAATATTCGCATTTAGTCATATCAAACTCAGTATTCTAATACAGTACAATTAAACCTCGATTTAGAGTATCCAACTGTTCTCTATATAGTCTATTACTAAATTGGAGAACCTCTAACCCAGAGTTATGTGTATTCATAGAATATACACGCAAATTTATGATTGAATGTGCAAAATAAACGTCATTAAATTGCAATTTCAAAAATTGTAGACCTATAAACTTGCACTGTCCGGTGTTACATAGAACATGTTTTCATCACTGACAATGTTTACCACCTGCAAAAAGATTGGAATATATATAAAGTTCTTGATCCAAATATGCTCGATATCACTTGTGTTCTCACGGTTTCTATCAATTAGCCGGTATCCGGGTTCGCTAAAAATAAGTAAAATTGCAGATATTCTTCCTGAAACTTGTACCTTTACAGCGAACTTTAGTATTCTGCAAATGGAATAAGGACATTCAAATATGACCAACGAGTAATCATATCCTACAATGTACAGTACGAAAAATTTCTTTTGCTTGAAAATATTTGTTAGAAGATAAGAACGTTTGTCTAAACGTTAATTTTTAAAAAAATGGCTTGTGGTTTGTTAATCACAACAACATTGAAATGCAAAAATAATTTTAAAATATACGCAGATTTTTTTTCAGTGTGTCTTACCCCTGTTTTTATCGTTTTTAAAATGAAGCTATATAATGAAACTCCTATGGATAAATATGTAAAGCAAATTGCAATTGTTTTTACTAAATTTTAAACATTTCTATTGATTTACCTGTGTAAAACTTTTAATTATCTTTTATGACTTCTGAAAAACTCCTAGCCTTAATAATCGATCATTATAGTTCAGAAAACTGTTATATTATTTAAATATCAAAAAATGTTTTAATTACAGATAAAGAAATGAAACTATTTTCACAATTACAATCAACGGAAATGATTTAAGTAATACTATCAGCATAAATTTACTTACAGTAGTTTTAAATGTACCCTTTGTAATATCATTTCGTACAAATGATAACGATAAAATAATTTAATAGTAAAAATAAAAATGGCCGTTTAATGCGTATTAATTTTNGAACGTGTACGTTGAACCAACTACAATATTTGATTACACACTTTATGAGCTAATTTAAATATATGTTAGAAAATACTATGTTGCAGTATAATAGGACATTATAACATACAGTATCGTATACGAATCAACTTGTGTTTTTGCAAACATGATTTTCTAAACCGGTATAAATTTTTATTCTAATTTGCAATAAGTTCGCTAATTTCTGATATTTCTCTTAATATTCGCCATGATAAACGTTAATTTCGAAATCCGTAAACAATATTTACTTTTATAATTTTATTCATAGTAGGCCTATCTTAATTTGTGCATAATTAATTATTTTAGGGACGACAGAGTGAAGTACTGTTACAACAAAAGTATGGACCTATTTATGGGTAATTATATACTTTTTTCGTTATATTGAGTTTTATATATAGATTATTTAATTTATTCAAAGTTTTGAGAGAATCTTATCATTTAGGGTTTTCTTGGGAAGCGTGCCTTTTCTTATTGTTGCAGATCCGGAGTTATTGAAAATTATTCAAGTCAAAAAAGCACAAATATTTAATAAAAGAAATGTAAGCAAACTATGTTGTACATTATGTTATAAATAGAATAAGAATTATATACAGAATCACCTCTGAAGTCGGAACAGACTGAGGGCTTTTCCTCGTGTTTTTTTATAAAGTTTAAATCCTTATTACATTTACCCTTAGCTTCGTTTTTAACTGTTTTCTCTCTTTTGTGAGTTAAATGGCTCAATTTAAGCTCCGAATGATACGTTTGTGACCTTAACAGAGCTATAGAGCATACTCATAGGAATAAAAAAGTGAAAGAAACCATACCTGTACATGTGACCATTCGCGAGATATAGACCTCCAAAATTACTCTATGTGACATATGTGACTTATTCCTATGCTTGTTTTTCTACCTCCGAACTCCCCACAGATGACTGTGTGTGTGTATTTCTTTTCGAAGTTTGAAGTTCGAAGTTTCGAAGAATTCCCCACTGTGTGTATTTCTTTTCGAAGGTGAGGTCAAAATTGATTTCGAAATTTGACTCCAAATCGCGGAAGGAAATATTTAATTTGAGTAATTAAAAAGTAACAAAAAATGCTTATAAATTTTACTTTATTTAACTTTTTAATTTATTTAATTGATTATGATGGAAACTATTATTTCGTTTAATAAGAAATCTGATCTTTATTTGATTATAACTTTTCTATTCGAGTTTCATTAACTTTAAGACTGTGAATTGTAAATTTTTGCCTGAGTCTCTACGTAATAATCTGGAATTTTTACACGGAATCTGCTGACACGTAATACTCACCTAAAAAGAGAATGTAATTATCGGTGTTATTAGAGAAATTATTATCTCCAGTAAATATTTTAATATTTTAAATAACATTTTATTTAGATAATATATATATATATATATATATTATACCGTGTTTCCCCGAAAATAAGACATCCGCAGAAAATAAGACCTAGCACAGATTTTGCTGAATTGCGAAATATAAGACCTCCCCCTGAAAGTAAGACCTAGCGAAGTTTTTCTTCAGCCGTAACGATCATCGACAGATGGTTGAAAGTGGCCGTTGGCTTTTTGAAAGTACAGCCACTGATTGGTCAGCAGACAATTACGCCACACGGCATGATTTGCATAAGACTATGGCTTCGGAATCACAGATTTGCACAACGTTACGGCTGGTGATGGCTAATTGGTCGGCCGGGAATCACGCCACATGACATTTGCATAGTGCTCCGGTTCAGTAAGCACTAATTGGTCATCGAGTCCGATGTTGACGCTATAAAAAGGCGACAAGTCGACACACCGGATATACGTCACTCTCGTCTAAGTTCGATTTGGAAATTTTTTGTTCAATAATAAATGTGAATTCTTCTTCCTAGAAAAAATAAGACATTCCCTGAAAATAAGACCTAGCGCATTTTTCAGAGCAAAAATTAATATAAGACACTGTCTTATTTTCGGGGAACACGGTAGCTGCAAAATGAAATGATCTATATACCAAAAATATTTAAATACATAGAAAATATCATGACAAACGCTCTTGGATTAATTAACATACCTATAAATCTTCAAACAATTAGTATTTTCCCTATTATTGCTTAAAGCACTTTTGAAAAATATTTCACTTTTTAATAAATTTGCAGATATCGAATTTTGCAAATAATTCGATACAGATAAGTTAAATTATTATATAATTTTGTTTTTTATGATTTGGTATACAAAAGAATACCAAAATTAACTACAAATGCAATTAAAATATCATAATGCAACTTCGATTTATTGAGAAAAGCAACAGACTAAGTTATAACTATCATTTAAAAATGACACTAAATCTTATTGTTCTATCAATAGTTTTATCCTATTTAGAACAATATTTCAAGTTAATTTGTATCATCATTTATTTTGAAATAAAAAACATTTCAGTCTTTATCACTAATTAGGCGAACGATTGTAGAAAATATTGTGAACTTTTCAGGAAATGGTAGATATTATTCAAAATTTTGAAGAAAACGCTTGTTAAATATCACAAAGGTTGCAAAATTATTAGACAATTTCAGAAATTTTCGAAAAGATTAAACTTTTATCCAAAGCATTACAAAGATTATGGGACGTATCCTCAATTAACTGAAACATATCAGTTAATTTGCCACTTGTTGCACGTTTGAAAATAAATAGGTGGTGATTGTGGATATAAATGAAGATTTCAAAATTTTAAAACGCAATTTTTTTTTAGCAATTTGAATTTTCTTTTAGAATAAATAAAACATTTTTATTGCACAAATGCATTTTGTTCTAACTATATCCTTACAGCACGTAATAACAAATTTTAGGTATTTTCCTTAGGCCTCTGTGAATTTAATCGAACGTGTACGTTGAACCAACTACAATATTTGATTACACACTTTATGAGCTAATTTAAATATATGTTAGAAAATACTATGTTGCAGTATAATAGGACATTATAACATACAGTATCGTATACGAATCAACTTGTGTTTTTGCAAACATGATTTTCTAAACCGGTATAAATTTTTATTCTAATTTGCAATAAGTTCGCTAATTTCTGATATTTCTCTTAATATTCGCCATGATAAACGTTAATTTCGAAATCCGTAAACAATATTTACTTTTATAATTTTATTCATAGTAGGCCTATCTTAATTTGTGCATAATTAATTATTTTAGGGACGACAGAGTGAAGTACTGTTACAACAAAAGTATGGACCTATTTATGGGTAATTATATACTTTTTTCGTTATATTGAGTTTTATATATAGATTATTTAATTTATTCAAAGTTTTGAGAGAATCTTATCATTTAGGGTTTTCTTGGGAAGCGTGCCTTTTCTTATTGTTGCAGATCCGGAGTTATTGAAAATTATTCAAGTCAAAAAAGCACAAATATTTAATAAAAGAAATGTAAGCAAACTATGTTGTACATTATGTTATAAATAGAATAAGAATTATATACAGGTAACCCCCGTATAACACGGCACTTCTATAGCACGGATTCGCTCTAACACGGTTCGAGAATTGGTACCATCCCCCGTATAACACGGCACTTCTATAGCACGGATTCGCTCTAACACGGTTCGAGAATTGGTACCATCCCCCGTATAACACGGTACTTTTATAGCACGGATTCGCTCTAACACGGTTCGAGAATTGGTACCATCCCCCGTATAACACGGTACTTTTATAGCACGGATTCACTCCGACACGGTTCGAGAATTGGGTAAAACCCTCGTACAACAGGGAAATGTAATGCTTCTGCTTCTGATGTTGCCGAATGTTTTCCCCTTATTCCATACTTGCTTTATTCTTCATAAGTGCTTAGCACCATATAAGGAAATTTATAAAGACCTTTTAACTAGAAGCAAGCAATCTAAAATTACATACATTTTGCAAAAGGTAACGATGGATCTGAAGATAATGCAGAAAAATGCTCAGAGGATAAGGATAACTTGCCGAAAAGAAAACGCTCTCGGCTAATTAATAGTGTTTTTAGTGATGACAAAGAAAACATTGTTTAATTTATATTAGTATGTATCACTTAAAAAATTTTAATGAAGATATTTATCTTAATTATGAAAATATACTAGCATGTTTTTTTAATTTTTGGAACCTAACCCTTTTTTTCGTATTAGTTCTTTGTTTCGTATAACACGGATTCGCATAACACGGCAATTTTTTGGAACGTAACTACCGTGTTATACGGGGGTTACCTGTACTCAAATATATTAATTTTAATCGAAAATTGCATTTAATACAATTTTAAGAACAAAATGTGAAATTAGAGTGTCTTAAAATGTGTTAGATTGGGTACTTCATGTGACAAACCTTTACGTAAGATAACGTTTGTAGTTATATCAATCAAATACTATAATATAATAAAAGGGTTAGAAATACGAAATAATCTAATAATCTTAATTCCGGGCAACTCCAGGCTTACCTGCTAGTTAATTAATATATTAAAAGTAATCGTAAAACATCTTGTCACATGGTAGCCGATTGACCAATGAAATGTTTAAAACTTAATTATAGCCTATTGTTATAATTATATTACCTTTCAAATAATCTTGCTACTCATTTATATTGCGTATGTATACATGTAAAAATCTATATTAAATAGTTGTATTAGTGTTCAGAACTTCATTAAACATGTTAATAAAATCTTTGGAGTTTTCACTAAGTTTGATACATGTCTGATATCGATAATGTTCTTTTTATAGAAAAATATAGCAACTTAAGACAATGTAGTGACTTTAAGGACACGCTACATTATTTATCATTTGAAGTTATCAGCTCTAATCAGTTTGGAACTGATTGGAATGACGACTAATTTATTTATAGAGAATAATCTCCTTTCATGATCACTTTTCCGCCCTTGCCCTAAATTCTTGCTAAAAAAACTGAAATTTATTTATTGTAAATTTAAAACTGGAATCCTGTTTTAATTTTAAACGTGTAATATAAACAATAAAATTTATTCATAAACAAAATACGATTGATATGCCTATATATATATGCTGATATCATTTGCTGAAATATATGAATTAACAGTTAATTCATATATATTTAACTATTATAACATTTTATATAAAAGTTAAAGTCTGGTCGATTTTTTTATCTTATAACAAATTAATAATTTATTAATATAAAATAAACTTATTTGGAAAACTTTTTCTGAACTGAAATATATTTAACTATGAATTTTCTACTGAATATTTTATTAAAATATGCATGGTAAATAATAATGACAACGTATTTGAAATGTTTAGGTAGCCTAAAATATTATAAATGCAAAAACTAATAAGGGGGAAAGCATTAGTTTCAAAACTTTGCGCCTCCTAAAATTTGTCGCTGTGGGCTAGGACCTAGAGGAAAATTTTGAATTTTGAATTTTAGCTTTTTATATTTATTAACAAAATACAGTAAAATCACTAACAATATTAGGATATTATAATACAATTTGTATATTTATTATATTAAATTTTAAATTAAGTTTAATTTAATTATAAGAATATAAATATAAAACAATCTGATACGAACAATTATTTATTGTGACATTTTCACAATGCCGGGTTGCAATTTTTAATCATATTTTTTACATTTATATAATTTAAAATTTACGCTTTCCACCTCTAATCAGTAATGTCTTGCAGCCTGTTTCCTTTAATAGAGTTGTGCCAGTTATCCATCTAACACCTTTTAGGGGAAAATTTTTGAATTGAAAAACATGATTTTCGATTTATATTTGAAGCTTATATATAATTAATCTCGGCCTTTTGTATCTACGCTTTCTACATATGTTTCGGCTTTCATCTCTGATTACAATCTCTTATTTTAGATAAATTAAAATTCTATATACATATTTATTACTTTTAAGTATGAATTTATAATAGAAATGTTTAATGTAAAAACTCATGCCTGTTTGTTTCATTTAGTTTATATTTGTTGCTATTCCACGATGATATTTGTTGTTGTTTTTTAATGTAATTATTTATTTTATGTAAAACAGCCCATTGTTCCTGGTGTTGGCATACCAGTCAAATTAGTAACGGAAAGCGTTGTTTTCATGATCGGATCTAAATGGAAACATAATAGAGATGCAGTAACTCCCAGTTATACAACTAGCAAATTAAAAATGGTAAGTATATTTTATTCATTGATATTTATTCAAAGATTTATTATTGTAAAGAAGCAAAGAGTAATTCTTCCACTTCTCGTTCTCTACAAAGCAAATAAATTTTTCTATCTCATATATAAATATTACACGTTGATTAGCATCTTCTTCAGGTTTCGATAATACAGGTTTTTTTTTCAGACTATCAAATCATCCATCAAGCTACATTTTTTTTCTCATAGTTTCTCTTCCAACATTTCTCTCAACAAATTATATCACTTGAAATAAGCAGAAGTTTCCTTTTTTTTTTTTTTTTTACTTTTTCTCAATATGCATTCTATAATCTTTCTTCATCCATAATGTATTTGTGATAAACTAATTAAAATTATTGATTGGAAAAGTTTTAAATTAAATTAAATTTTATAGTTGGCTGCTGTGGTAAATCGTTCTTTTGATAAAAGCTGGAAAGATATGAGAGAAATGACGAAAAATGGAGTTAAATTTGACATGAGAGAATTTTTATCAAGTAGTGTAGCCGATATGACTTTTCAATCAGCCTTTGGTATCGTGGTCAACGATCAGAAAAAACTAGTTCAATCTTTGAATTACTCATTCGACACTGATTTTACGAATCCGATTAATTTCCTTTCAGGTAAGTTCAAAATATTTATACTCTTAAAATGAATTACAAATTTTACCATATTTAGATCATAATAAGAAATAATGATGTAAAAAAAAATAAATAAAGGACAATTCTCTCAGACTGCATAGAACTTATCTCCTGTCCAAAATTTTTAATCACAACTTACGAATATTACACAAAATTTTAATTATTATTAATTATTTCAATTTCTGATACTTATTTATATGGAAATAATTAAACTATAATTTATATAACAGCTTAAACAAATATAAACTTATATATTTGTTGTATTTTTTTCTTTTTCGCTTATGTAGCAATTAAAGAGTTTGTGAGGACCCAACCGAGATCCGAAATCATGTAAATCGCGGTATTCTTATGATTAAATAATAACGATAGATCGAATATGAGAGGGAGAGGAAAATCCCATAATTTAAACAACGCGGCACAAAATGTAGACAACGAGTCTCGGATGACTCCAACACGTGTTAAATGAACTGTCAATGTCAGAATGAAAAGTTATAAGTCAGACTCAAGTGATCATAAACAGATAGAACTTTGACCCAAGTGATCATAAACAATCAATGTAGGGAAACAATTTCGGAAAAGAGGGAAAGATTTAAGAGAGATAAATCACTGCATATGATCGTTCGAGTACCCAGATGACAGAAATCGCGAGTAACGGAGCTAAATTATGAGCGCGAGTCTTGCAATTTTGTCAACAATCCCCAAGAACAATCGACAGAAAGGCGTCGAGCAGACACCTGGAATCGGACCTTTCCCGTGACCCGAGTCGGTCTCGGTTTTCCCCAAAACAAGAGAGAGACCAATCGAGAAGCGAGGAAGGGGACGAGGGACCAATCAAAAGTCCGAATAGTGGGAGAAAAAACTATAAAAATCCGAAAATCAAAGCCGGAGGAGGCTCTCTTCCGTATTCCACGAAAGGTCGTGACTTATATTGTGGTGTGTCCTCGCCAAGAACTTTGGACTCCGCCGCTTCCTCCTTCCGATTGTCCACCTTGCTCAGCGACCTCATCTCGTCCGCCCCGGGGCCAGACAGACGCCGAAGTTCTCGCCTCTCCGCATCTTCGACGAGAAGAACCTAGTGAAGGACTGCCGATTGTCGATGTAATCATAAATGTTAACAAATAAACGACTTTCTTGTGTAAAACACTTGTCATCATTTGCCTCCTCCGTCACGGCCTACATACAACCTTCCCTTAGGTTCATCCTGACGCGGGATTAATAGATCCCACCTAGGAGACGACAACCTTAAACAGGTGCCGTGGAGTGGGTTTAAGTCCCCTATCTCCACCGAGTCGGCTACCTTACAAGTTTAATTAATATTTCAAGAAACATTTCAAGATTATTATTTAATTTCAAGAAACATTTGACGGCAGATATAGTAATAAAACGAATACAGGATTTCAACTGTCATTTTATTATTATTATTTGACGAGAACCCTCGCAGACAAAATGCACACTACTATTAAACTAGTAACATATAATAACGATACTGTATTTTAAATAATACTTATTTTAAAATATTCCTTAATCAAATACGGTATCTGTTAAGTAAAAACAATAGTAAAGCCGAGTAAAGTACTACAAAACGATAAGCTAGTTCCATTACTATCAGGAAGTATGGCTGTCTTTCAATAAGTCTTAGCCTATTATTATTTTATAACGTTTATTACAAAATTTAATTAAAAATAAAAAGTGCAATATATTATTATTTTAGTAATTATTATATATTTATTTCAGTTCATTTCGGTTTATTTCAGTAGGCCTATTTTCGCTCTGAGAGCACTAAGAGGCCTAGGATGTATGTTTATGTTATGTATTAACAATGTTTATTTAAGTTTTCCTACACATTGTACATGTTAGAAAAGAACAGATAAGTGTTTGTGTTATGTTGTAGTGTAGTAATTATTATATCAATAAAATTAAATTTTATACAGTATTTAGTTTATTTTAAAGATTAACCTATATTTAATATTTTTTCAGTTTGTTTTCCTGAAATAAGTAATTTTCTACATCTCCTAAGAAATTTTACTCATAAAATAAGACATTTCTTTTCGTTTTCATCGACATTATTTGTATTGGAAATGTGTAAGAAAGTAATTTCTACTAGACTGTCTCTTGAGAAGGTAAGACATTTTAAGGCAGATATTAATATGATAGTTAATTGCACACAGTATTAATTCTATCGGTTGTAATTTAACTATTTAGTTAATAGATATTTTGGTAAAATAAATTCTTTCAAAATTAACAAAATTTTATAACTTAAATATTAATTAATCAAGTAACTTATAAATTGAACATAAAAATCTCTGACAACTACCAATATAAATTCATAAATTTTCATCTACAGAAAATAATTAAAAATTTTTATGTTCCTTACATGTATTGTGAACATTAAATGAGCAAAAGGCTGAATTTTTAGTTTATGTAATTTAAATAGGTAAATGTCTCTTCAATCCGAACAAATTTTCGGTAGACTTTCTCACAGCTCTACAGGTTATAAAACTCCTTTATTGTTTTTCTACAGATGCATATACATCATCGTAGTATCATGGCGACAGATATCCTTCATCAATCATTTGATGCGACGAAACGCCTTCAAACAAAGAAACAAACTTTAGACGATGCTTACGCCGCGCCGGCTAACTTTCTCGAGATTGACGTAGGAAGCCCCATAACACACGGATTAGCCAGAAAAAGATATACCGATTACGAAGTGCACATGAGAACAAATCTTCCAGTGTTTAAATTGAAAGAATCAACAGCAAGAAGACGTTACAGTGATTTTGAATGGTTAAGAAATGAATTGGAAAGGGACAGCAAAATTGTAGTTCCACCTTTGCCAGGAAAGGCATGGAAACGACAGTTACCATTCAGATCGGATGATGGAATTTTTGATGAAGAGTTTATTGAAGAGAGGAGAAAAGGGCTTGAATTATTTATAAATAAGGTTGCGGGTCATCCTTTAGCACAGAACGAGAGGTGTCTTCACATGTTTCTCCAAGAACATGTCATAGACAAAAATTATGTACCAGGAAAAATCAGGAATACGTGATTTTGTTTACTTTTACTAAATTCAGATTTTTTGTGATTTTTTTCCGGCAACACCAAAAAGTGATAGTTTGTTACTCTTGATCATATTTTCATGCAACTGGTTATTGCAGTCTGTTTCAAAAAGAAAAGATGAAATAGTTATATATGCACTTTTTAAAAAATTGTATATTAGTATTTTATAATTTATTTAGAAGTTTAGAAGAATGCATCTGTAAAAAACAATAAAGGAAGTTTATGACCTGTAGAGCTGTGAGAAAGTCTACCGAAAATTTGTTCGGATTGAAGAGACATTTACCTATTTAACACGTAATACAGCTACCATTAGAAAATTCAACAAGAAAATTATGTAATTTAAATATATGCTCTCGATTTTAGTAGTGTCTTGTCCTTATAGAGTAGCTCATACTTCTCCTGATTAAACAGAATCATCCCGGTTATCAATCTAACTCCGTCCGTAAACTGTCCTTTTTATCGTTTATTAAAATATTGACAGTTTGTTGATGTTACGTACTCAAACTAAAACTCGAAATTTCTAACGATGCATTACAATTTACACGAACAGAAATTTTCAAAAATTCTAATCAGATGTGTAAATTTTATCTTAAATACTTGCATATACCACTAAATTTTAACCACAATTTACTATATTACACGTTACTTCGAATGATACTGAACGTAATTTCTCTCTAGAACTCTTATCCAGATGTTCTACAGCTTCTAATTAACGCCAGTTCCCTGAAGAATGTTGAATTATCCGAAGAAAATGAAAAATCAGGTAAATTGATTTTTAGTATATTGAAATTGAACTTAAAATTTTATATTCGAAATATTTTTAATAACAATATTTCTTGAAGAAAAAGTCGTTGTTCATAGTGAATACAAGCTCAGTTATAAAGATTGCCTGTCAAATTGTTTTTACACTGCTGTTGCAAAGTAAGTTATTTTAACGTAGATAATGATAAGATAAATAAATAAATAAATAAATGTATTATATTACATTTAAAGGTTCGATACAATTCGAAGTGCTGTAACATTTTCTACGTATTGTATCGCCAAATATCCAGAAGTACAGGATAAAATTAGAGAAGAAATATCGAAATATAATAAAAAAGAGGTAAGAAAATAAAGTCAAGATACATTTCATTTAATCTAATTATAAGATATCAACATTTCATTTAGTTTAGAATAGAATATTCATGCAAGAATTTGTTACTTCTGTTACACTACAGTATTACAAATCACATAATTAAAATCGATTTGATAAAAAAAAAACAGTAATAAATCTTCCTTTATTTATGTATTTTTATATAGACTTGTTCCGTCGTATTTCACAAAAATATACGCAAAGGTTTAAATATTTCTCTGACACGACGAATAAAGTAATCTTTAGTAGATTAATCAATTTTACAGAAAAACAAGCTTGCTCAAGCCGATCTGATAGAATGTTCCACAAAAGCGAATCAAATATTAATTTTGTTTAAAATAAATTTTATAAATTCTTGGAATCAAGTAGTTGTTCAGAAGAATTTTTCACTGAATATACAGTAAGGGNATTCAGGCTAGCATTTTATAGATAGCCTATATGAAGGAAACCTTTGTAGATAGTAAAAATATTGTATTTCTTTAATGCTTAACTGGCAAAGGTAATATGAACTCATGTTTAAAGGCTTTCCTATTTCCAGATTTTTAGGTATTCCGATCGAAATATAAATTTTATAAATTCTTGGAATCAAGTAGTTGTTCAGAAGAATTTTTCACTGAATATACAGTAAGGGATGTGGTTGATAAATTCCAGAGGAACCACAAAGTTTTTATTATAGCTTACAGTGACCGTAAACGAAAACGGTCAGTTCCATTTTGCGATCTGACAAACACACAAAAGTCCTAACATAAGCACTTCACCACTATAGTGGAGCGTGCTAAAAAAGGCTGCAAAAGAATACTTCTAACGTATTTCTTGAATAACTTTCAAATTTCTGTAAAATCAAGTACGATTCAGTAATCTTATGTCAGTCCTTGCTTGCCTCTCTTCTCAAGACGAAAGCAAGGGTTGAACACATTAGAAATATGAAAGCCCTGGAAATTTTTAAAGGTACATTAAAGGGTAATTGTATCAATTATAATCATGAGAAGTCTGTTATCATCCGTCGTTATTATCCAGTACGCATCCAATAAAATTTGCTAATTTCGACAATTTAATAGCCTTAGAATTCCATCGTTTCAAGTTTTTAAACTTCGTGTTTTTTTATGCGTTAGAGTTCCTTGTTAGAACTCGTGGTTCCTGAAGAAGGCCTTCGATGTAGGCTGAAAACATTTGAACGGAGGATTTTACCCTGCTGGACTGAATCGTACTTAATTACAGTGGTGCCTCGTATAACGTACTTAATCCGTTCCAGGTGCACATCCGTTAAGTGAAAAGTCCGTTATACGAAACGCATTTTCCCATAGAAATACATGTTAGAACATATAATTCGTTCCGCAGCATAAAATAACCATACTGTACCATAAAAAAATGAAAATGGAGCAGTCACCAATTATGCCGGATAGTCAGATGTTGTGAGAGGAGGTGGAGGAACACTTTCTTCACACATTCATACAGATACAGACTTTTTACACATTGCAGCAGGTCTCTTTTTATTGTTTTTTAATCGGAGTCAGATTTAGGAGAGGCTACCGGAGCTTGCAGGGTCAACTCCTCTTGTTCCATCCTTTGTTATTTGGCAGCTGGCTTCTTGAAAATCATGTCCAGGGTGGTCTGTTTCTCTGTCTTCTTTAACATTTGTCGGAAATGACGGGCAAGGGTGTCATTGTAGAGATCCTGTTGGCCTCAACTCTGTTTGAATAATTAGTGTTGGTAAACTCCTGAACCTCTCCCCATTTGACAAGGACGTTTTTGTCAACTTTCACTCCTTCTGATGATTTCTTACTTTGTTTCAATTGAAATCACCTTTCTGTTATTTTAGAAGCCATGATTTCCACAACACTTGAATAAATGTAAATACTCTACAGTGAGGTGATGTACGTAATAAACAAGGGAGCAAGCCGAATCTCAATGGGAGCTCTGTACTTCAGATATACTAATAATATATTCTAATAATACTAATATATTATAAAAATAGCAGATTGTCGTTGCTCGAGTCACGTAACGGCCAAACAGAAAGTCCGTTGTTCGCAGCGTCCGTTATTCGAGGCGTACGTTATACGAGGCACCACTGTATTTTTCAGTTTTATCATTTAGTGTTCTCTATAATTATTGAAGTATAATAGTTAAATTTTACAAAACGTGAAATGATTAAATTCATACATAAATTCTTTTGTGTAGGCTATATCCATATCTTGCGCCGTTCAATTATTACATCGGCAAAAATTTGCTTTTTTTTTTTTTTTATCTTCCTCTTCTTTCCATTCAGGCCAGATATATCAGGCCATAAGGAAAGAACTTATTTTTAGGCATCTGTACAGTACATGTTTATAATATTGCATTTTTTATTACGGCAGTTACAAGTTGGCAATGAGCTAATTGCCCGGTGCACCCTAACCGCAGAATTCTGGATGTGGATCATCGCGATCTTCATTTTGCAGACTGGCACATTAGAAAATATAAATTCTTCTCGAAATAAATGTCGGAATATGACGGACCCGTGATATATTGTATATAAATTTAAAGGGTTTGCTATAATAATAAGGCAGTCACTTCCACAAATTTTGTAATGTGTGTATGAGTGGGGTGAATAATAAACGAGAGGCAATCTTGCGTCATCAAAGACTCACCAGTTAATTTTAATTTTATAGCAATGACATGAAGAAAATAATTATTTCGAATTTTATATTTACAAATTCATTTTCTTTATACAGGAGAGTATCGATTATACAGCCATATCTAAAATGACGTATTTAGATCAAGTCTTAAGTGAAGTGTTGAGACTGTTTCCGCCCGCTGCAAGGTACCGTTTCAAATATAATAGTTTAAATACACACAAATTAAAAAGATATATAATTATGTCTAACTCGATTTATATATGTATTAAAATAATAAAGGCTCATTTTTTTAAAAATTATTTTTCATAATTTATATTTTAGCTTCGTAAACAGGATAGCCGAGGAAGATCTCAAATATAACGATATTTTGATTCCTAAAGGAATGACTGTATATGCTCCGTTGTACGGTTTACACAGAAATCCTGCATATTGGTCTGATCCGGATGAATTTAAACCTGAAAGGTATCAAGCTTCTTTGTGCTTAAATGCTTTAAAAAATAAAACTACAGGGTAAGATGTTTTCAATCAATTTCATTAAAGGCATCTATTTAAATATAATTTATGTATTTTTGCGATGTATGTATACCGAATGTATACATTCATGCAACCTGTTATATAGTACAACATGCAGATTTATGAAATCCTTTTGAAATAAGATGTGGTCGTCTCTACAAAAGGATCCCTATCTCTGGTGTAGCCATTTATTAAATTTATTCGACATCTCCAGGTATTCAGGCTAGCATTTTATAGATAGCCTATATGAAGGAAACCTTTGTAGATAGTAAAAATATTGTATTTCTTTAATGCTTAACTGGCAAAGGTAATATGAACTCATGTTTAAAGGCTTTCCTATTTCCAGATTTTTAGGTATTCCGATCGAAATATAAATTTTATAAATTTTTAAATATAAAATTTTATTTTAGAAACTTGCTAAAACTTTAAATATTTTACAGATTCCAAGATAAATCTTCAATTAACCCTTACATATACCAACCTTTTGGAATAGGACTCAGACATTGCGCGGGAATGAGACCCGCTCAACTCATTTGTAAATTATTGTTGGCTAATTTAGTCAAAAACTTCAAATTTAGTCTTGCTCCAGAAACTAAAGAGGTATTGAAAATACTTATTTTTTGCTTATTAGTATTTTTAACCTTTGCGAATTTATAATAATATACCGAAAATAAAAAATACTGCGTTTAATAAAATTTATATTTATTTACGATGGTTATGTCTAAACAATCCGGCTCTGTAGCACTTCGAACTTTGTGTACGAATTTTTAGTCAACCTTATTATGTATATCAGTCATGAGCAAGTTTTTAATATTCTGCTCAGGTACTTTGTAACGTACTTTACTTTTATTTATTCTGTTTCCTTTTCGTGCATTGTTTTACTTTATTATTTTATGTACTGAAAATTAGGAAAATTGGATACATTGGTACAGTACTCAGCAAACTTATAGGCAGCAAGACTATATGAAAAAAATGTATGCAGCCTGCTACGAGCCGAAAAAGTTTCTGCCGTCATTCAGAAAAAGTTGCTCATCATTGGTTTAAGCATATTAACAATTTTTTTCCTTCTTAAATTATTTCATAAAGGCTTCACTAATATAGCTAAGATTACGTAGAACAATTACCAAAACGTACCCAATTTCTTTTTAGAGTCATAGTCATTTAATATATCGTGATATATCGTATTATATGAAACAATGGTTTTCATTAATATATATATAAATTATCTTTTCATTTTTTTCTTAGAAAACCACTTCTTTTTAATAAAGACTTTTCATTCCCCCCATTAGTTTTCATGTCATTCCTGTGGTAAAATTATAAGACTAAAAAAGTGTTCAAAAATCATTTCAACGTTTTATTTTATTAATACTTGACTCCCCTTTGCTATTAACTAGTTATTTTTAAAATAAAATGTCTGTTTTTAAGTAAACATTTCATATTATTGATTGAGACCAATATAAGTTAGTTTCTGATATAAGATATTTACATAAATAATACAATTTATTAAATTCATAAAATACAAAAATAAATTATAAGTTACATTTAACTAAGACGTCCTATAATTTCATCGTGTCAAAAGACTCATAACTATTTTTCTTTCAAGTCTTTTGACACGATGAAATTACAGTAAAATTCTAGACATTCTTTACAAGTACTGTAATTATTTAATTAAATTTATCGACCATTTAGAAGAGTTTTAAATCTAAAGAAATTAATCAAGTTTTATGAATGTTTCTATTTAAATATATATTATTAGATAAATATTAAAAATATATTTTTATTTATTTTCAGATTGAGCCTCATTTCACACTTGTCATAACTTTCTCTAAACATCCGATTTATCTTAACGCCACTCCACTGTGAAGATGAAACAAATCAAATACTGTATACAATTTGTATTTTGTATTTATTCGATAAAATTTGAATGAAAAACTGAAGAAGCAAAATTTTAATATTTTGTGATATTTATATAATATACCAGGTTATGTTTGAGCCAACCGGTGTTATTAAACTGTTTAATATTCTTTGATGTAATATGCAAATATGTAGATAAAAGAAAATACAGTAGTCTATGTATATACACACTATTTTTGGAATGTATCGGCCTACTACTGTGTTTTGAATAGCTGTTTACTCAGTTAAAACAAATGAATAATATTATAAGAGAGACTGGGAAACGTAAGCACAAGAATATTTTAGTGTGTACTAAGCGACCCGTCAGGGAAACTTAGATCTTTTAGTATCAATTGATACTCCAATCTGTTAGCTATTGTAGGGTTTAGTGCATTAAAAAATCTAACCTGTTTTTTCCAAAAAGTAAAAAAAAGTTGACAACTATGCAGTGTCCGGTATTCCTCTGTAGTGCAGGACAGTTTGGCAACGACGGGAGAACTAGAAAGTGGCCAGAATTTTGCATACAAAGGACATAATAAAATTAAATATTGAATATAATTTATTTATACAAATTCATTAGAAATTAAATACAATATATTCGCCAATTTATTAAAATGACAAATGAACATTTCAAGTATTAAATTACTACAGTTTTAGGTTTCCAATGTCAGTATCTGCTCCTGATTATTGCAACCTAAAGTAGTAGAATATTACAAGATAAATACAATCTTAATACTTTCCGGAAATGCCTCTTGGTTCACTTTATGATATATTTACTCAGGTAATAATATAAAATGAACCCTGAGGCATTTCCGGAAAGTATTTCCCCGGATCCGTGATTGCCCCGAGTAAGTGTCCGCGGTTGCTCCAAATCGTCATGTTTGATTCTAATCAGCTTTGAGGCGTTATCCTATCTAAATTTCGATATATGGTAAATAAATTGCACAAAACACATCATTGCCCATATTTATAAAATATCTCACAACTTCACGTGATAAACATTTCCTGAAAAGCAGTTTTAGTGCACAAGACATGGACAAAACGCGCGAGTATAACAATATATGTCAATATTACATGGCTGACAAGAATCATAACACAAGATGACAGTGCTACCGAATTTTATTTTATACAATATATCACGTCCGGCTTTACCCGGTGTCCGGAATTGCCCAATTTTCCTACTAATGCATTGTTTATAATTTTTCAAAACAAATACATTATGGTAGTTAATCTCTTTAGATATTAACGTTCCTATGGTTATCATATTGTAAAATTTCAAAAGGAGAACACTCGAACCAACTTGCTGTTCAGAGTTGAACGTGAAGTCCTAAAAATTTCTAACTAGGAATTACAAATACTGTACACTGCGATGAACCTTTACTTTTGGAAGCGTTATGACAATAAATTATATTAAGTGATTTCATTTTAAAATATATTTCATAGTTTTAACAAGAATGCTTAGTAACAGAGAAGGTAAATAAATAATTTGACTTACAGAAAGCAAAGGTTATCCATACTTTTAAAACTAATTACAGTATTGTTAAGTTCGTATATATTTATTGCTATACTGTATCTAATTTTTTTTAAAGAAATTCACTATTATGTATCAAAAAAACAATTACTTCGATGAATCTAACTGTAGATGATCATAAACAGTAAACACACGAGAAAACCGAATGCTTTCACACCGTCCATATGTGACCGAAAAGCAAAGCTGTCAATGAAGATCGGAACCATAAACGCTTAGTGAAGACTATGCTAATGTAGTATCGAAAGTGCGAATGTAATTAGCCAGGTAGCCAACTACTGAATTTCAAATTTAACGCTATGATGTTACTAACAGAGAAAATTTCCATTTGTACAGTACAGTACTTACGTGGGGTATCTCCAGAGTGAAGGAAAACGTCCAAAGACCGGAAATGAGTACAATAATTTTTGAACCGGAAGTAGACGGTAATTTTTACTCCTAAAACGAGTGTTTCTACATATATTCGGATGTATGGTAACCCTGTAGTTACATATGTTATTTTAAAATCATTATTGCTAGTGTTTTAGAAGAACGTTAAGACGTTCGGCCATGCGGTTTAACGATCTTCACAGATTAAAAATATACATGAGTTTAGACATGGACAATCTTCAACTTTTTATATAATATTTTCTATTGTAACAGAATTACGGTCACTGAATTTTGGTCTGGAATATTTCCGAACCAATTCAACATTTCGGCAGTTTGGCAGCCAATTTATAGTAGGATCCCAAAATTTGAAGCAATGCGATAATAAAGACCTTTCTGTGATTTCTGACCTCTTCAGTGACCTTCTAAATACTGATATTACTCATTTTGAAGATTTTGTACTTTAATCTATTATCGTATAATTTATTCTCCAGCCTTTTGCCTCCTACTTCACAAAACGGATTCCAAGTGGGCCTCTATGCAGTTGTATGATCTGCTTCTATAAAAGCTCCACTGGCTTAAGTATATGGACGTTTAACCAATAAATATAATTGTATCGCTAACTTGATATTTAAGAAATTTTCAGTCAGTCATACGCGACACGAGAATGTGAAAAGAGAAAATAAAAAAGGCTCAAAAAGCCAGTTAAGAAAATTGTGGGCCTGGATGAATGTTTACTGTGTTTTTTTTAACAACCTTATCGATATGATTATATAGTAGTGAATTGGAAATGTTGTTTCTGCTGATTATGGTCATACAATTCATTAATGGTCTGTAAAAAGCAACGTGCTTTCTATAGACTGATGTAAACATAAAGCGAACTCATACAACGGTAAATTAGTCAACGTAGAAATTTTACTGTGTGTATAAAATTGCGCAATTAAATGGATTTTAAAAACTCAACAGAGAATATGGTAATGAGCTTTTGAAATCAACTTAACTGCAATAATGTATAAAACTCTAAACAAGAAAATAGACGCGATGAAAATCTATTGTGTCGATAAAAACAGATTGAGACAGTAACGCATTTCATGTATGTAGAGTGTCCGCTTAACAAATCCCAATTGTAATAAAGTTACACATATTTTTATATCGTACTACTAAAATTGTTCAAGCTTGAGTTCCTTAGTTATGTCTTAGGCGAACTAAACTTCCCGCCTAATTCAATCCTATTATACGGATTGAAACGAATGTAAGTCCTCCAATCAGCGATTAGTAGCGCTATCGGACGTCCGCTGGTCGTACGATGTTTTCTAGCCAATCCGCGGTCGAGTTTCAAAACTACTGAAATCGCCGGATCCGCGTTTCCATGACAACGTTTGTTGGACGTTTGAAAACAAGAAAAGCGCGGGAAATCGTACGTCCAGACGATTTATCCCGACAGTAAACTGATTTTTAAATATGCATTTACAATAATTTTAGAAAATAAGTTATTAGGATAAAAACAATACTTTAAAAAGTACATAATGAATCTCTAAGCTATTATAAGTGCTGTTGTTTATTGTTTAATCATGACGATTAAAGTGATCATCGGTTGTCTTGCACACTCCTATGTCATTAAGAACGTATGAATCGCTTTCTTCGTCAATTTACTGTTTATTCGCGCTTCCTGGAGATACAACAGTACTACTTCCGGAGATGTCGGCTCCTACAGACAACCTAAACAGTTCTTTGAGTGCAGCCGTCTAAGTGCAATATGTTCTAATACAATCTAACCTTACAGGGAAATAAAAGTGACAATTACAAATTTTTATATTAATTTCGAAATATTAAAGTTTTCATTTTGAGGAAGGACTGTCAAACAGACGACAGTGGGCATTTATAGATCTACAATGGATTTAACAATATAGAAACAACAGTTCCAGAAGATTCTACCATTGCTCAATTTAAATTAAATACAATTTAGTTTATGATCGTCTTCGAACATCCTAACTCTAACAAAATGGATTACACCTCGTCTCTGTGGGCATGAGTGAAAGACTACAGACAAAAATCAAAATGGTCTGTTTCTATAGAAAGACACTTCGAAATCGAAATTCTCGAAATTCTCTCAAAATATCGAAATTTTTAGCATTAAACTGAGACGCCACGCAACAATAGAATTTCGACAATTGTCTGTTGCTTTGTTCGAATGCGATTGTTTCGAGTATTTTCGAAGTTTTGCTATAATTTTCGCGATAATTTTAAGTAAGTTTAGTCCCTGATATTTCTAGATTTAGGTATTTTTTAACATTGCTAGGTACTTAATCACAATTAGCAGCGATAATTTTCCCACAACGAATATTCCATTACAACTTTATATTCATTTTTGTTTAGAATTTTTCTTATACTTAAAACGGTCATTTTCTAAAACTTTCTGTCGTATTTATATTATGATTTTTTAATATTCTCTTAATTTAACGTTCGTTCTACAATATTTAATACTCGGTTTTTATTGTTTGCAGGATGGATAATTTTAAAGCGCTAAAGAATTGGAATACCTCTGGAGGAGAGAGTGCGGAGGAAAGCTCCTCGACATCAGGAACGTCTTCCTCTTCGATTCGAGTGATTCGCGTGCGTCCGAAAGAAGTGCTGGAGGGTGCGAAGGAACCCGACAAGAAACGGGTGATTGTCACCATTCCCGATGAGAGCACCTCGTCTGTCATCGACTACCTGGAACAGAGATATCCAGAAGTTCCGGAATGGTCGGTGCAGAGAGAGGCACGCGAGGAAGGAGTCGAAGGGGAGTGTAAATCGATCCTGAAAAAGAGGAAAAAGAAGCCTTGGTGGAAGAAGATTTTCTTCTTCTGGAAGAAATAAATCTCCGAGGTCTTCTTATTAAATGTGACTTTTATTTTCGATTGTGACATTTTTACCCGGATGTGACTTTTATTCCCGATTGTGACATTTTTACCCGGATGTGGACTTTTACCTGGCTTTGACCTAATGACCGGATGTGACTTTTAATGGCGGTTTGGCGTCTTCCCTTTCCTGCTGGGAATTTTTGGAATGATACATGTCCTTCGTCATCGCTTACGAGGGACGTGTTCTTCCACTTCAGTTAATTAAAGTCGACGGTGACAACTTAGCACCGTCTTCGGTCGTTTGAAATCTCTCAACTGACGATGAAATTCTGACCGGAAAATAATGGATTTTCGCCAGCAACGTGCGTGTCAACACTGGACACCCGAATGAAAACAAAAGGGAACTATCGCAGTTAGCATATGTCTAAGCTACAATTATAATTATGTTGAACAATTAAACGTGTATATAAACTTTTACTTAATAAAACTTTTTAAATTTATATTGATTGATTACGTGTATTATCAGTTTAAATATTATTTGCGCACTTTTTATTTTTGGACTGATTTATAATTAAAGTTGAAATAATCTTTCTAACAATTAACTGACGGTGATTCTGTTGACATAAATGGGATAGAATTAGCCGAAGAAATTTCAGCAGTATCTGCGCTTTTGGGCCAAAAAAAAAGTCTAAGCAATGTACTGATCTTAATTACAAAGTTAAATTTTGCCCCAAATCTTACTATTGCTTTAAGAATATAGCTAACGATACCAATAACTGTAGCAATTGGCGAAAGGAGTTTCTCTAAGTTAAAATTAATTAAGAACTATTACACAAAATCGTCTTAATGGTTTGGACATGTTGGCAATTGACCATGAAATTGCTGATCAAGATGTGAGATCCGCGATTTTTACGTAATTGTCGTAAAAAAATATTGTAAACAACTGCGGTAGAAAAAACGATCTTAGTGAGAATTATATCGGAGGTGACCGTTTGTTTTTACAATTAGGTGGGAAAGTTGATACATAGGTGTCAATAATGCACCGTTAATGTCAACAGATGACGATCACGTGACTCCTTTCTCACGACAAACGTATAAAAGCGCGAGCCCCCAGAAGTTCGAGGCGATCCACAGGAAGTTATACTCATTAATGTGTGCATCTTGTCTCCATAACCGACCGAAAGGAAGACATCGATAGAAGATAGACCACAACTTTGAACTTCCATACTTATCGCCATTCGACAGTTCCTGCACCGATTACGATTCCCACGACCATTCAACGCACGTCATTCATTTCCTCATAGAGGTATTTTTATTAGAGATTTGTGAACTCTCTCTCCGAGGATAGGCTTAGCTGTCAGAGCTGTTAGCTGTAAGATAGTTAGCTCATATTTAACCGCATTTAACCGTAATATTATTATCGCCTCCTGTAATCAAGATTTGTTATTTTAATAAATGCTTTGTTTATTTGTTAAACCTGTCTCCTGTCATTGGAAGGACGCCTGCCGGCTTACAAACGCACTCCCCACTCACTTTTTGCCCTCCTAATCCATCCGTCGACGTCGAGATCGGGCTTGGCCAGCCTGTGCCGATTAAGTGGTTAATAGGGTAACCCCCTACAGCCTCCGGCTTATCTCA